GAATCTGCGGTCCTAAACCGATCCAATACGTATTTAAATGGATTGGTTCAAATGGGTTCCACGATTTAAACAGATTAGATTGGTTCTAAATTTTCAAGAATCGTAGATAACAGATTGGTCCTAATTTTATCTCAATCCAGACCAATTCGAACCATGCTTATCCCTATTGCTACGGAACTATGGGCCATCTAGGTCGGCCATCAAACAGTTTGGGTTGAGGGATTTCTATTTGTTGTAGAAGTAGAGATTGACTCTTTGGAGGCTCTCCATGTTGTTCAACATCTGAGCAGAGTTGAAACAAATTACAACATTTTACATAATCAGAATTGGCATTGCAAACTCCAGAGGGTGAGGCTTGATTCAAACTCTTATACTAATTGCTTGGCTAAAGAAACTAGAAAGTTGAAGGTTCAAGGTAGCTTCTTCAAGTGCCTCCTCCCTCTATTTTACGATCCTTAGCATCTAATGTACAAGGACTTAGATCCCTTAGTTCTATTAGTAATTAGCTGTTTTATTTGGGCTTAGGCCCCCTTTGTCACCTAAAAAACAAAAAAGAATGAAGAGAGAAAAAAAATGAATTGATTAGTTTGCCCCTTAAAAATAGATAAGGCAAGTAAAAAGGGACCAAATTATCATTACTAATTACATCAATTAAGAACAAAATAAAAAATAAAAAGGTAAAATTGGCACAATTAAAATTATAATAACCACATATGACTCAAAAGTTTAAGTATAGAGTCATACTAATAATTCCAAGCCTTCAAAAAATATTCTATTCTACCTTCTTTTTTCTCTCCCTATTTTTTAAGGTCGACTAGAGAGCTCAACTTAGGAAACCACCTTATGAAGTAGTTGAGCATGGAAAAAATGAGCATGAGCAGAGGATGAATATAACCACTGAAGTTGCAACATAAATAGGGTGGCTAAATATGATAGAGTAGAGTGGTCGAGCTAACTAGAGTAGAGTAGTTGAACCAATCGGGGTAAAGTGGTTGACTAGAATGGTTGACTTGATCAAAAAAGTTAACTTGAAAAATACACTCCCATTACTCGTAAAAATATGCATAGACGAGTGTAGAATTATGTCATACAATCAACTAATAAGAATAAGTTTATAGACCAAGACATATCCATTCATAAAATTCTGAGTGAATGATTGTGTGATAAAAATTAAATTTATTTAGTGTAGATTTATGTGCAGAATAAATTTGAATCACAAAATGATAATTCTGAATAATTGAGTCTGGATTTGTAATATTATTGCTAAATTAAGGGAGCACTTTTCATAACTATCATATATCCATGACCCTTGTATAAAAATTATGTTTAATGTTTTCTTTCAAAAAAAAACGAAATCTGATTTGTTTGATTTACCAAAAACTATTTTTAGATAAATTTTCATTTGTGTCTAGTGAACTTTTGTCATAATTTAGTTATTTTTTATATGCAAGTAATCTAGATGCTTATAAGAAGTTTTAAAAAATGAGTAAATATGATTTTTTTTTGGCTAAAAGTATAGGAAAATCCAAACAAAAATATGTCTTTTAGATGAGTTTTTCATTATTTTTAGTGATTTTTTCCCTTTCATATGTCAGTCATTTTTCAAAAACTTTTTAAAAGCATATAAATTAAGTGTATCTAACAAGTAAAAAAAATTCAATAAAAATAAATGAAAACTTGTTTACAATCAAATTTGAAAAATCAAACTAAACAAAATCCAAACTAAACAAATGTGTTTCTTGAAACGGAGGATAAAAGCCTAAAAATTATATTTATATGACAATGCACTATATAATAAATAAAAGGATAAATTTAAGAGTAATGATTTATCCCCCCTTTTCCCCTCATCCCCTTTGACCCCCTCTCTCTCTCATTGGTTACTTTTTCTTTTTCTTTTTCTTTTTTTTCCTGCTCCCCCAATCACCACCCGCCACGTGGCAAAGGGGGGTGAGGGGGTGACCCCCAAAAGGGGGTCCCAAGCATTATTCTAAATTTAATTTTAGTCTCAGTAATTTCAGTTGTACAGTTTATTTTTACAATGTTTAGAAATGATCACATAATCTTTACGTAGTTTGTGAACTGAAATACACCGTTAGATATTTCGTCCAACTTAACAGTAAGTGAGAAATACATGGTAGACATAAGAGGGTTATATATTTATTTTCAAATTTTAAGAGGATAAATCACAAGTATGGGGAGTTAAATCATATATAGAATAAAACACAAGGGTTAACTCAAACTTTTAGTTATTTACTGCATTTTCCTTATCATCAACTATTACATCTTGAGTCACATTACTATTTTTTACACTGATTATTACATTTCGTAAATCATCAAAAAACTCTACAGGGTCCATAACAATTAATCATCTCTGATCAACTTCTTCTTTTCTAACACCCATCTTTGAAATCGACGGACCTGGATCAACATCACTAGCACCATCACTACCTCTGCGTACATCAATCTCAGACAAACTCAGATGACCTCTGCGTTTATGGATAACTGAACTACTTTTCCCAAAACCTCCTAACAACAAATCCCTTCGCTTCTCCGGTAAACCAACAGACATAGTCTGTGTCAAAATCAGAATGGCCTTGGTTGGAGCACAATGCCAAACATCAACATTATCGTTAGTATATTTTTTAAACAACACAACAATAGAGGGGGCCCTTATCCACTAGTCGCCGGTGTCCTTGACCACCGGTAAGTAAGGGTATTTCGTCCAACTTAACAGTAAGTGAGAAATACATGGTAGACATAAGAGGGTTATATATTTATTTTCAAATTTTAAGAGGATAAATCATAAGTATAGGGAGTTAAATCATATATAGAATAAAACACATGGGTTAACTCAAACTTTTATTTATTTACTGCATTTTCCTTATCATCAACTATTACATCTTGAGTCACATTATTATTTTTTACACTGATTATTACATTTCGTAAATCATCAAAAAACTCTACAGGGTCCATAACAATTAATCATCTCCGATCAACTTCTTCTTTTCTAACACCCATCTTTGAAATCGACGGACCTGGATCAACATCACTAGCACCATCACTACCTCTGCGTACATCAATCTCAGACAAACTCAGATGACCTCTGCGTTTATGGATAACTGAACTACTTTTCCCAAAACCTCCTAACAACAAATCCCTTCGCTTCTCCGGTAAACCAACAGACATAGTCTGTGTCAAAATCAGAATGGCCTTGGTTGGAGCACAATGCCAAACATCAACATTATCGTTAGTATATTTTTTAAACAACACAACAATAGAGGGGGCCCTTATCCACTAGTCGCCGGTGTCCTTGACCACCGGTAAGTAAGGGGAGTCCGATACTGGCTGCTCATTATTCCTTCCATTTTTGATAAAACACTCCAAATCTTTTATCCTACAAATTCTGTAGATTCTCTTACCTCTACTAACCCTTCTGTTCAGACACCATGGCTTTGATATTTTTTCCCTCTACTCCTCGTACACCGGAGCAAACTTCGCCGGAGCTGACCACCGCCTTTCTTCCCAAAGTCCTATTTACCACGTCAAAAAACGATCTACACACATTTGAGTGAACTGCCCGTAATTCTCGAGATACTCTTCTAAGGAGTACAACATTGTATACCAATACAATCAACAAAAAAGAAAGATAGAAAATGAGGGACGAAACAATGTACCAGAAAACAACTTCACCACAACAGTTATCCCACTGCAAAGGCATATTCCTTTCTGCCATCAAATGTTTTTTAGTACCAAATAAATAGCCAAAGGGGCCCGTGTATAAGGACGGAAATTTCCCATTCAAAATAATTCAAAAATATTATCATTTTCCCACATTTGCTTTATGTCAAACATTATCAAATTTAATGCCCCTTAATTGTTCATCGTACAGTTCTAACTTCCTTACTCATCTCTTAATCTTCTTAATATATCGGGGAATATTCTGTACGTATCATTTGCATACATACGCCGCCTTAAAGTACACTTTACCTTTTAAACAAATGACGAAAATATAGGGATATTTTAGTCTTTTTTATTAAGGCTTAATTTGGAAATTTTGGTTTTTAACATATTTTGGGTTACATTACATCTCTATGTTTTTACACGTTTTTTCAAAAAAAACCAAATAAATCTAAATGTCAACTTTTAACTAACTTCCTAAAATAACCCTAAATCGTTAAGAAACCAAACGATACACTTCAATATACAAATCACTAAAAAAATATATGATTATTCCCAAACATTGAGAATAAATCACACAATTTGGGTAAAGTGAAATTTACCTAAGAAAAGCTGCCCGGGGGGGTGTTTAGGAAAAAAAAGTACAAATTTTTTAGGTTAAGATCACGATAAGGCCTTGTTTGTCATAAATTAAAAAAGTTAAAAAGACACTATTTTATTTAAGTCATATCATCTTATTTAAGTCACATTACCTCTCTATCATATCACTTCAAATCCAACCCATACATAATCCATATTTTATAAAAAGTCAAAAAGTACACTTATTTAGATCATCCAAAATCACTCCTAAAAGACAAAATATGTTAAAATAATTAATAAGATAAAATTTCTCATCAAATTCATAATCATTTCACTTTTTCTCTCACAAAAATCACATTTAACTACCAAAAAAAATCCAATCATCTTTTCAAATACAACTATTTTGGTTTATTAAAATAGTCAAAAACTAAAATAACCAACTTCCTAAACACCCACATAGTTGGAAGTGAGTTGGGATTAAAAAAGTACAAAAAATAAAATATACTAAATAAATTAACAACATAAAATATCACATTCAAATTATAATTATTTTATTTTTTTCTCAAAAAAAAATTAAAAAATCCTTTTCAAATAAAACTAATTTAACTAAACTATTAATCCAAAAAAAACCTAAAAAATCAAATTAAAAAAATTCTTCCCAAATCAATCCAAAAAGTGAGAGGCAAGGCACCCACAAAAGTCCCAACTCCCACTCGTTGCTTAAAAATAAAGGTATCGATAAAGGAGTCGAGACATACGTGGACACGTATGGCATATATAAAGACGCCAACACCGACTCATCATCAGATACATCTTCACCTTCAAATTTCTTTTTCTTTTCAGCTAACGTTCATCCCCCGCCAACCTACCAGTCTCTCTCGCTCTGTCAACGTATTCTCTCTCTCCTCTCTCTCCCCTGAAACTCCTACAATTTTATTCATGCATATATATATCTAGAAAAGAAAGCTAATTTATATGATATACACTCATCGATCGAGACAGATTGGGCGATCCATGGCGGTGTTTCACTTCAGTCTTGTTGTTTCCTTGCTTCTATCGCTGTGCCTGCTTGTACCTTTCACTCAAGCCTCTGATGTTCGCTACTGCGGTCAGTTTGATCTAGATTCTGTTCTTGTTCACTATGTTTTTTTATGAATTCTGCACACTCTCAGGTTTATTATCAGTTTTTTGGTATGTTTTCGATATGTTTCATCGCGATTTTGTTTGTTTGGGGTCAGATTAGGGTTTTTGAATCTGTAGATGTGGTAATATTCGTTTTTGGAAGACGCTTTTGCTTTGGTCGATCAAATCTTGTGTAGTTTTCCGGGAAAAGTGCTTCCTTTTTATATTTTATTTTTAAAAACAGAGAAAAAAGGTGGGAATTGAGAGAAACAAATTGAATCTTAGGTTTTTTGGGGATTTTTTTCTAAAAATTATATCCATTATGTGCAACTCAGTTAGGAAAAAGAAATTTACCAAGCCTATTACTATTACAGGTGCTTGGATCTAATGAAGTTGGGTTGGTAGAATAGAATTTGGATTTCACTTTTACCAACCCAAAAAGCTTACTAATTTCTTTCTTTTTCTATGTTCTTCTGATACCATTAAAATGGGAGGTTAGTGGAAAGAAACTCCTTGAATCAAAAGAAAGTCTGTCTCCATTAAGATGCTTATTATTTTTTCTTTTTGAAAAAATACTAGTCCTAGAGTTTTGACATAGTTACATCGACCTTCCTTTTACTAAGGTTGATGGGATCGAAACTAATGTGGATGATGTGAAGGAACAAAGATAAACAAAATCAAATTTTTCTTCTATATGACCAACAAATTACTAATGACAACAGGGCTAAGTGTTATGTGAATTGAAATCTTAGGAGGGTCCAATGTAAGTATGCCAAACTTGTGGGGTTTATTATTTTTTCTCCGAACTTCAAAGGGGGTTGGTGGTTGTCTTTTTCATGCTGTTATTTGGAACAATAACTAATATATTTTAGGCTTTTGAAATACTTGCAGATAAGAAAGCTGACTATGCTGTTAAAGTCAGTGGAATTGAGATATCTCCTGATCCTGTGGCTAGAGGCAGGCCGGCCACCTTCAGTATTTCAGCAACTGCAGGTAGCATCCTAGTTTGAGATCTTCTCTTTGATTTTTCCATTTTCTCCAGAAATTGTAGGCTTAATGTTTGTTTATCAGTCAAAATTTGTTCTTACATATCACCATCCCATGATTTTTCTAATATATGCCAAAGGTTCATTTTGCATGCTGCACTTTTTTGCCATTGTTTCATATTTAGAAAATATGGATGTGAGAACACTATAATGGAAGATGAGAAAAGTGTGCTTCAGAATGATGCTATGCATAAAATTTATTGTCTTATGATGATTTAACTGAAACATACCAATGGCGGATGCAAAAATTATAACTAGAGGAGGCCATACTTGATTACAAAGTTCTAATTATTTCTTTCATAGCAACAGTATTGTACGTAACTATATTAAAAGATACATTTTTATAAGCATAAAAAATGAAAAATATCATTAAATTCACAAATAAAATTCTCAATCAAGAAAGAGTATTTTGATTTTCCAAGTTAAAGAAAACATTGATCAGGCCTTTTCTGATAAGTATTTTGGTTTGTTGTTTAAAATATTTTATGCTTGGACTTATCATTATATTTATTTGTTTTCCTGATCAGTAGGAGGCCATAGCCTGGGAATTAGTAGTCTAAACAAAACTTGAATACTTAACCTTTTAGTGTACACGACCTCCAATCAATTAGGATTGAACTATTGTGACTCATCATTATTTTCTTCTAATGTCTCAAAAAATAAATTATTGTATAAAATTTAGTTGTGGGGCTAGTCTTTTATAAATTAAACAAGAAGACAGTATAAATTGCAATTTATTGAAAATATATTACTATAAAATAATTTGTGGGGCCACCTCTTCTATGGGTAATGGGAGGGCTACTAGACTTCAGATTGGCCTTTCAAATCAAATAGGATTTCAAAACCCACCACCCCCCCCTCCCCCCCATAAATAAATAAATCAGCCGTTGAGCATGCCTACCATTTTATATAAGATGTGTCATCATTTTATGTTGACTATATGTAATGGTTTGGATTAAAAATAATAATGAAATTACCGTGCAGCTTCCATTTTATGTTGCTTTGATGGATTAGTGCAAACTAGTGGTTCTTCATTCTTTCTAGGATTTTTAAGAGAGGTGAGGAAAATGATTTTGGAAGAACTACGATTCTCCCTCTTTAGATACTCTTATTCCTTCTTTATTGATTTCTCTTGAACTATAGTGTGGAGAGTTCTAGTGCCCTCTATTTGATTGTATATATGTATATATAAATGTTGGCTAGCGTTGTAAATAGAGATATGGATATACGTAATTTGACTAACGAAATGTCCTTTGATAGAGCCGTGTGGAGAAGAAGGATTCATGTAGCCGACCCCATTTGATGGGAGTTAAGGCTTGGTTTGGTTATATGTATATGTAAATATTATGTATGTTACTTGCAATTGTGATAGTGTTTGGCATCTTATGTTTGTAGAAGGTTAAAGGGAAGATTTGATCATTTACTTTTGTTCATTAAATAATTGGTTTGGAAGAGTCAACTATGTTTGCAATGTATTGAGGGTATATGAAGGTGGTCAAAGGCCCACCCTTTTATGAATGTAAAGGCCAAACATCATTGGTATGTTGCTTGCCTAGTTGCCCATACACTTGCTTTGGGATCATTCAACTTGTTTTATGGTATGTAGTTAAGCTTCCTTATCAATAGAGATACTCAAAATCAGTTTTTCAAACACAATATTTGTTTTGAAATGTAACATTTTATATGCTTTCATATCATTTTGGCATTTGCTTGTTTCTAAATAGTTTAATTTTAAGTTACAAAAAGCGAGATTTGCTTATAGAACTTGAAAACATCTTGTGGATTGTTTCATAAGTTAATTTAATGAGATACACTTGAGGCTCATTCATATAAACCGGGATGTTCATATATACATGAATATGGTTGCACCATGTTGACAATCGTCGGTGATGTTGGTAGACCCTCGGCCTTCTGGGATGGCATGAGACCACTGGAGCAGGAGATAACCTCCTTTTATTAGAGAATTGGATCATGGGGACCAGCTCACTCTTGAGAGTTGTGTTTAGTAGGTGTGATACACCTTATTAGGTACCATAGTGGGGAGGAGTGATACACTTCTTGTGGTATCACATGTCTATTTGATCTTCTTGCAGAGGTCTCTATCATGTCTGAGACTGGCCAAAGTGGGGTCACCTTGAGAGGGCTAAACTAAGCAACTTTGATGATCCCTCAACTCTAGCCGCCAATCATGTCTCTAGAGATCCTGCACAGGATCATAGGTCTTTTGAGTGTCCCATGATCAAGGTAGAGACTCCAGGGGTCCCTAGGTCCTACTCTTGACTTGGGCAGGCATGATAATGTGAGTGTCATTATTGAGTTCTAATGGTGTCGTGAGGCAAGGTGCCTAGGTGAGCCAATTGTCCCCGACCTAGCTATCCACCTAGTATGGGTGTTGAGGCAAAGCCACAAGCCCAGGTTAATGCATTGTCTTGTAGAGCCAATATCCAATATGCTTGGTTGTAATCTGTTGGCCACATGACAAGTACTTACACACCTATATATGTAGCTTAGTTCACATGCATATATGGGCGTTTGGTTGCTTGCAATTGTTTTAGGCAAGTTTTCAAGGAAAGTAATATTTGGATACAAAACCTAAAATTTACGAGTTATTTTTCTTTATTTTCCTAATCAACACTTAGGACTACATGCAAAAACAACATACATGTATTAAAGCTATGTTTGGTTGAGAGATTTGGGAAGGGATTTGTAAAGGGAAATGGAAAGAGAAAGGGAAAATGTATGTAAAATTAGGTGAAATGTAAATATATTTTATTCATATTTCACCTACATTTTCCCTTTCCCTTCCCAAATCCCCCATCCAAACACAACATTAGAGTGTATACAAAATATATGCATATCTATGCATTTAGTAGTTAATAGACATATATGTACGTGTGCTTGTAAAGTTGTATATATACCAACTTTAAAGTTATATACATGCATATATATATGATTGTTTAAGTAAGTATGTATGTATGTATGTTAATATTGTGAGATATGAGGTGCTATTTAATGTACCTGCAGGGGTAGGTTTTGGATCCACTTTTTTCTTGGCTGACACCTTAGGATATTAAGAGGTATTAAACAATTATATTGTGAAAAAATAAAATATTGATAATTCACATTTTATCGTAGACATAAGCGTGGCGTATTTATTGTAATTTAGATACGTGGAGAGATGAGTGATGTTAATTACATTGCTAGGTGAATTCACTTGTAGCATAGCTAGCACACATGAAGTGAATGATATTTGCTACGAACTAAAAAGAAAAATCCATTACAGTTTATAATAATGGTAAACAATAAATTTGTTAGAATTTACCTACACCTACCACCACCTACTACCACACCTACTACACCTACCACCAATTTACCCTCACCTACTCCTCACCTACTACCCAAACCCTCTCCTATATAATGAGCTACTCTGATTTGTAATACAATTAACACATCAATCAATAATACATATTTCATTCTCTCTATTTTTCCATACATCAAATTTAACATGGTATCAGAGCGGGTTTAGAACCTAATATTTTCGCGTTCCCGGCGGGCGGCAACCTCACCTTAGCCGCCCGCCGGACCTCAAGTGCATGTATGCGTTGTGGTTCTGTGTATCAGTGGCGTGCTGAGTGTGCATGTATATGCATATGCCATGTGTGTAGAGACCCAGCTAGAGAGATCAAGTTCAGAGAGAGAAGAGAAAAGAAAAAAAAAAATTCCACTGTGCCGGTACCAACCGACCCACCAAGTCCGAATGCTACTATGCCCACGGAGCCATGCTACACCCCCGTGTTCCCGGCGGCGGCACTCACCGCGCCGGCCAGGGTGCTTTCGGACACCTGTGCCGCGGCGGCCGCATGTTCGCTCCGCCCAGATCTGGCGCCGCTGGCACCGCCGCTGGCACCGCCGCATCCACGTCAACCAGCAGACGTGAATTATTTACTATCAGTATCTTCTTACACTTCTATTGTCATGTACAAAACTCTATATTTCACAGAAATATATGTGCTTATTTCAATTTCTGGGTTAAAGATTTACAACTTCATTTTATCTATTTTAATTGCCAAGAACTTCTCGCTTCTGTCTTCACTGCTTGCGTGTTTGTTCATTTCTCTGTGTGGGTTTTTCTTCGGACCTACTCCTGATATCTGGTTGTTATATTTGAAATTTCTTTTGAATGAGTAGTCCTTGTGCCCCTCATGATTGAGTGAACATACTTAGACATGCCCAGTCCTTTGAGGAAATTTTCCGTGTGATTGTTCTTTCTGAGTTTGGCAAGATTTTTTGTTGTTTATCATTCAGGTGAAGCAATCTCTGGAGGAAAATTGGTGATTGATGTTGCATATTTTGGATTCCACATCTACAGTGAGATTGATGAACTCTGCGGGAAGACATCTTGCCCCATTTCTGCTGGTGATTTTTTAATTTCTCACTCTCAGGATTTACCTGGGTTCACTCCACCGGTAAGTCAACTTATAATTTAATTGTTGCAATGATATTGTGCATTAACATACTATGTGTTTATTTCATGTTTAGAACAACCCATGTCCAATTGGTGGCTTTCGTTTGTGGTTTGGAATCAATCAAAGACACAGCTTGCAATCTCATCTGGAACGCATTAATAAAAAGCAATTTTTTTCTAATTTCTTAGCCTCTCTCTTTCCAGGGATTGCAACTTCTGATGGCTTGCCTTTGTAGTCGCTATTGCTTGGTGTTGATTGCCTTAGGTTAGGCCTTTAGGAGTAAAACATAGTAATGAATTTTTTTGTAATGGTTGGTATTGCTTGCCTTGGGCCTTTAGTATATATCTATTGGACGCTTTAATGCAATTTGTTAGTAACTTTCAGCCGAAGCCTATGTTTTTTGAAATTGCATTACTACGAAAATGGTTGTATTATGATGTGATTCAATGTATTGGAAATACAAAACATATAGTAACTAATATTTTCACTCCATTCGGGAAAAGAAAATGATCCATAGCTATCAAAACATCCAAGCAAGGTTAGGCGATAGCCCTGTAGGTAGCCTAGGGGCTGTAACCCTGATTGCTTAGGCAATATCTTTGGTTGTTTTCCTGGAAATTTTATAACTTGAATCTGTTGCTTGGCATACCCTTATAACTTATTTGGTCTATATTAGGTAGCAGTATATATGAATTTTGCCAACTCAAGTATGACATCATTACATCACTGTAATCCTTAGAAAATAATTTTAATTGTCAACAGTTGGGGGAAAAACTGTCATGGCATCAGTCACAACATTCATAATCCATCAAAATCAAGTCAATAACGTCAAATTAAACATTGATAGAAAGATAGCTACTTAATTGAATATGGAATTGGTTAGAAAGTTTTTGTTTAATAGTCGTATTGTCTATCTTGCCTTGTTATACATTGCTTGAAGTTAAGCACCTTTTTCAGATTAATTTCAAAGATCTGCTCTTTTTCATTGTTGCGATTATTGTTAATTTCCAAGAACAATGGATGCCCAGTTAGGAGAAATTAATAGTGTTTTTCATTGTTTAGGCTGTAAGTTTAGGGTTCAAATAACAATCTTACTTTGTATGTGCCTTTTACCATGGAGCTTACGGTGTTTTGATATATATACAGGGTACATACACTCTTACAATGAAGATGGAAGATGGAAACAAAAATCAGTTGACTTGCATCAACTTTGATTTCAGCATTGGGTTTTTTGTGTCTGACGCTGTAGCTGCGCTTTGAAGATTGGTTTCATCAGCCACCGCTTGTAGCGTATAATCAATGTATATGATGAAACTCTTTTATCTACTGTTTCAGACCTTACATCTATTTCTGCCTTTCCAGTGTCATGTGATGTTTGATTATGACTATTAAAAATCAATCATATCTGTACATTTGATCCATGTGCCTAAAATTATTTCGACATTTGTGATAATTGTTTTAGTATACTCATGACTTCCCTTTAATGTTAAATCAAGTAATTGTGATAAAAATTAGCGAGTGATTGATCATTGTGACTAAATAGAAAGTCCACTATAGAAACTTCGTTGACACTATCATAAACCTTGATTTTGCTACGAATAACTTTTTATTTTAATTTTATGGGGATTGAAACTCTAATGTCGAGTTCCTTGGAACCCAAAGAAAAATGAGTAGAGATCTTTTCTTTCTTCTTTTTTGGGTTAAAAAATTAGATCTCTTTTAACATGTTAGATCCTAAGACGGGTTTTATTTTTTTATTCTTTTTTAAATTTTGAAAATTGAGTTTTTTGTTTTTGTTTTGTTTTTTTTTTAAAGTAAATTTTTTAAATATTTTATCTAATTTTTTTATTTTTTAAATACAATACACTTAAAAAGTATAATATTTGTGATTTTTTTAAAAAAATTCACTAAATACAAAAATATATAAATTGAGTATATATTTATATTTAGTTGTATTCAATGAATATTTTTAAAGATTTTTTGTATAAATTTTATATTTTTTAAGTATACTAAGATTAAGTGGATCTTAAAAAAAAAAAAAAAAAATTGATTAAAATATTTTTAAAAATTATTAAAAATATAAATTCAAAACTCATAAAATTATTTTTAAAAACTCAAAATCAAATAAAGTGATCTTTTTGTTCTCCCTCTTATATGCCAACTACCAAAGTAAAAGTGTACGAATGAGCTCTAATTTCCATACGACTTTGCTCCAGGAACAAAAGTAACCCTAAATATAGCCTTTCAATTACATAAATATGAATGGTGATATACAAATAAAATTTATACATATATATCGTTTTTATTTATTGTGAATTTTTTGTATGAAATTCACATATGGAATGATATGGATATTGGTGGTAATTTTATATCAAACTAAAAAACTGACTACTATAATTTATAATTTTAAAAATATTACTATCATATCGTTCTAAATCAGTTCTATTTATTATTTTTGTAAATCATTTTCTTTATGGACACTGGGGTCACTCACAATCATCCAGAATCCTCATGTCTCCAAATTATTATTAAAGTCTAGTGACATATATTATATATATGCCTAATATAAACATACATACATGCATATATACAGAAATATATGTATAGATGATTCCATTTCTTTCAATTTTTTTCAGATAATAGACACATGAATATGCATATGGATTTTGAACTGGTAATGCAATTAATCCAAAACTTGTGGTTAAAATTCATATTGATGGAAGATGCATCTGTATGCTTGTATAGGAAATATTGAAATTGTTTGTAAAGGAAAGAAAGCATAGACATACATAGGTGCACACTCTCACTCACATGAATACAGCATATCTCCCTCCACTAGTTGGATACAAAAAATTATTGTATTGTGTAGTGAAACTCAGAAGTTGCTAGAAATTGCTCTATCCACTTTTCAGTGAGGTTCAAAGTATTGAAAACATTAGTCATGGCTGGTTCAAAAGAGTTAAGTCACTATAGTTGCTTTATATTGAGAGAGAGAGAGAGAGAGAGAGAGAGAGAGAGAGAGAGAGAGAGAGAGAGTCATTGATGAAAAAGAAAAAAAAGAAGAAAAGTTGCTTTTTCTCCCTTGTGACTGCATTATAACCCATGGCACACCTTGTCTCCCTGGGCTTTAGCTCTGATCTAGTGCAACCATCCCCATCAAAGCTATACAACCAATCAGATCATGCCATGCCAAGGCACAGAAGGAACATCAATTTCCAATTTTTTTCCCCTCTTCATTTTACCCTTTTATCCTTCTGCCAAGGAGGTGTCCAGAACTCTTAAATTACCCAAGTAATGCTTAGGCTTCCCCCCCCTTTCCCCTTTTTTTTAATCTTTTTGAAAGGTGAAACTTGATGTAGCGGTAAGATTATTTCATTATGATCTATATATACATTATGGGTTCAAAACATGAAAATAGTCCGTTTGTGTGCAAAAATGCATCTGGTCCTTTCCAAACTTTTGCAATAGCAAGGGTCTCGTATTAACCAAGCAATGCTTAGACTTCCTTTTCATTTTTTTGATACTTTTTGAAAGGTTAGTCTTGATGTAGAGGTAAGATTATTCCATTATGATATGTTCATTATGGGTTTGGAACATGAAAAATAGTCTCTCCGCATACATTCTTTCCAAACCCTGCAATAACGAGAGTCTCGTGCACTAAATTACCCTACTTTGTCCCCTTTTTTGATACTTTTGTTTCCCCATCTCATCTAAACCTTGAGGTTATTTCAGACAGTCATTTTAGGGTAATTTTCACATTGTGATGAAATTAACACCACCACCCCCTTTTATATATTCTTCTTGTTAGTTGTGATTGGACATTGAGCTAGGGGACACCAAAGAGGAGGGAATGCCATTGCACAGCTGAACCTCTATTCGAAAGCAATTATTCAAAACTTCAAAAAGCAAGCCACCAACAACTTTCCATTCCACTTTCAACCAATTTGAAATCAAAAAGGACGAAAGATCTCTTTCAACCCTTCCTCCTCACAAGAATCACTACCCATTCTCAGCCATAACCTATCCTCCTTTTCTTCATTCCTTTAACTTGGTATATTATATCATCATCCCATGTGATTCATTCATTCATATTCTTCAGAAAAGGAATGTAAAAAAGATGAAAGGCATGAAAGGAAGATTCCTAAAGAAACTCAAATCCATCTCAACAATCACTTCTCTCAGACAAAGTATAGTTTTTCAGGCAAATCCTTCTCACCAAAACTTCCATACTGATGCAACCAACATCATCAATGTACCCGAGCTGGTGAATCAAGTCAAAGATGAAGAATTTGATTCACCATCCCACGTCAGTGAGAAAGAAAAGTTTGGATCCGTTACAGAGTCGAAAGACATAATAGTGCCTGCCAACGACCATCATGATATTCCTATTGTATCGGAGTCTGGAAGCACTAGTGCTTGTACTGTTTCATTGCCCGTGACACAATTGTTGACAGAACCTGAAACATGTGATTTTCACCCAATTTTGAAGATTGATAATGAAGAATTTCCAACACTGTTGGATTTTGAAGAGAAGTGTCCACCGGGAGGGAGTGAGTTGGTGATTCTGTACACGACTAGCTTGAGGGGAATCAGGAAGACATTCGAGGATTGTTGCAGTATCCGATTCTTATTGGAGAGTTTTCGCGTTCTTTACCACGAAAGAGATGTTTCAATGCACTTGGAGTTTAGGGAGGAGCTGTGGAGGATCGCAGGTGGGAGAGTAGTCCCACCGAGGCTTTTCATCAAGGGAAGGCACATTGGAGGGGCGGATGAGGTGGTCGGGTTGCACGAGCAAGGGAGACTAAGGAACCTCCTCCGTGGAATTCCACCGAAACCTTACAATGGACCTTGCAATGGGTGTGGAGGGGTGTGTTTTGTGGTGTGTTTCAACTGTAATGGTAGTTGCAAAGTCATTGCTGATGAGGGGCTAAACTGTGAATTGCCACTAGTTAGGTGTCCAGAGTGCAATGAAAATGGATTGATTAAGTGCTCAATTTGCAACTGATTGGTGTTTTGTTTTCTTGTAATATATATGATCTTTTAATTTTAGTTCCAGTGTTGACACTCCAAAAGTTTTAGATGTGTTTGGTTTCTTGAATTGATTCTATTTGTGGATTAGCTTGTGTAGATGAAAAGGGTACAATTTGATAGTCTTTTTGTTGAAACTTCAGGATTTGAGTTGCAGAATTCTACAGCATCTGCAATGTTTGGTATATTGGAATGGAATGATTAATCTATAGAATACTCATTCTCTTATGTTTGGTTCACTAAAAGAAAAGGAATTTACATTAAAAATGGAATCACCACTTACCAATTTAAGAGAATGGTCATTCCACTCCATTCATACCTAAAATTGTTCTAATGATTTAAACACTACCTTTGAGTAAACAGTGAAAGTAGCAGAACAGCCTGCTATAGTAGCATTGTTGATTCTCATCTTCATTTTAACGATTTATTTATTTAATTTTTAAGTTTTATGATAAGGAACTTTTCAAGACAAGTTATTTGTAATTCCTTGCAAACCACATGTATCAATTAAATTACCCACAAGGTATCAGTTAAGTTTCGGAGACAACCCAATAAAAGTCAAACACCATGTCAAAGTTTATGGCTTGCCCTAGAGTTCGGAAGAGGATCTTCTCTAGCATTATCTTTATCTAGCCATCTACTGAATGATGACTAAATGAAAAAAGTGTCGGATAAAATTCAGACCCCTAGGTGCCTATGAAATTTCCAGAAGCAATCCAATCAAAAATTAAAAAGCTCTGGATATGGTAAATTAGTTATTTTTACTAGCATGCAGATGCAGAACCAATGTAAGTTTGGAAACTTAAATACCCAACTGGGGGTGCCCTACAAATCGCTACTTTGCTGCCCCGCAAACCTAGCTATTTTGCCAACTGGTGTGGCTCCACTGTTAGGTGTAATTTTGTACTAGGCATTTCAGCAACAACACCATATGAAATATTTTGAAGAATTGACAGCACTAAACCTGCAAGGCTGTTTGGAAAGCCTAACTTTCTTTTCTTTTTCTTTTTTTGGGTAGGGCCAATGAGAATTGGCCACACAACATGGTTGGGTACCTTCTCCTATTGCGACCATATTTACAAGAATCTCTCACCGGGATGACCAAGTCCTAAACCACAATTTTGTGATTCAAAAAAAGGATCGAGTTAGAATCATGTCTCTATCGAGAAAGAATTGTGTTCCGAATTGGGATCAGCCCGGTCCTGAGATTTTCGGGATCCAATGTCGATAATCAACTAATAAATTTCTGAACCCTTCATATTTTTTTTTTCATTGAATGAAAAAAAAATTTGAAGGTAAAGGACAAAAGATTTGTGTTAAAATCACAAAATTACTTAGCATTACATTACAATAACTAATAAGTATCACTTGATTCTCGTTCTTGTATTTTTAGAAGCAAATAAATCAATTATACATAATCTAGTTTTTTTGCAAAATCATTTTCAATGGATAACAAAAAATCATTTTCAATGGATAACAATGCTAATTATTTTAAATGAGTCTTTCAATTTTTTTAAGGAGTCAATTTATTTTAAATTAATTTGGACCTTGCTTAATTTTTTTTGGACTTAAAATATACATAATATATTGCACTAAACTTTTGAATGAGCCTTTCAACTTTTAAATGAGTCAATTTATTTTAAATTAGTTTGGATTTTCTTTAATTTTTTTTAAATTTAAAATATACCTAATATGTTACACTAAATTATAATAGGAAAGGGCCTTTTTTTGGGTCTATTTAGAGGAGTCCTAAGCCATGGTTTGATGGGTCTATGTCCAAGGCCGACCCTGATTGGGATGGAACATTTTGAATATGGATCCCAAAAAACAAAAAGAAAAATCAAGAGAAAAATTATAGCAATCATAGGATGATAAGAAAGGGGGGAAAAACAATATTTAACTCAAATTTATTCATACTTCATATTTTCATAATATTTATTTATATTTAAAAAAAAAATTACAGTTGCATCAACTTTCAATATTTTTCCATACTAAAAGCAAACGTTTGGGCCCAACCTTTCCCATGGTACATAGCAAGTTGGCCTGTTTGCTGCTGCCCAGACTGCAAGTTGAGGGTTAAGTGTGTTAGTCCCCACTATATGTGTGTAGAGAGATAATTTTTTTTTTTTTTTGATAACCAAGAACCGATCCCAAGTCCACATCCAGGACACACGTGATCTCCCGCTAGTCTCACATATCGGGCAAAATAAAATATCAAACTCGACCCTTATTTAGAATTTGCAAAATTATACATTCTGTGATAATGCTACGTATTTTTTGTGTGATAATATTATGCATTCATGTAAAGCATTTGTAGCAAATGTTATAATTTTATGGAGTTTAAAAAATTAAATTACGCATTTTTGTATTAATATAATGCATTTTTCATTGAAACGTTTTTTAACCACAAATTGTTGCAACTATAAAGTAATGTTACGTTTTCTCAAAAAATGAAAAATAAATAAATAAAGTGATATTAGACATTTTTTATTTATAAACCATATATCATCATAATTTATTAGAAGAATATGTAATATTTACCATAAAAAATACACAATATAAACTAATAAAATATATAACAAAGTGAATATGGTAATAAAGGGATTTCCAATAGTTTTTAACATTTTTGTTAACTTTAAAATGATTATAGGATACAATCATACAATTAAGCAGAAAGCTACCCTCTTATACAGAATATACTTTGGTAGGCAACATCATCCTCTCCCAATATTCTGTAGGGTTTAGGGTTTGGTTAGAAACAAGTAATAAGATATTGGGTAGAATAATCCTATGCCTGCCTCCAATCATAGGGAATAATTTCATAACTAGGAGAATGGAACAGAAATCAAAAAAGAAAGGAATATCCTCAACTTGCACTTCCAGGGGTGGGTTGGATTGGAACTGAATACAAAAACCATAATAATAATAATAATAGGTGATCATTGTGGAATAGAATTTTGAAGGAATCAAACTGGTCAACTATGGTTAAAAACTCCCTGAAAACAGAGTAGAGAATATTCTCATTACCTCAAAACACCAAATTTGAACAAGTCATTTACACATTCAAACAATCTAAATGAAAATAACAATTCCAAAAATGCAAAGCATATATAGGCCTATCAGATTCTACTCCCAAGAGGTTTTGGGCAGTAAGTAATGAATTAGAATCTTACGGGCGGTCAATAGGGTCACAAGCCTCACGCCATTAATCCTAAGCCACCGGCTCCTGACTACGATGTTCTCAATGAAACTAGGGTTTATGACTCAGCCAAGGCGTGCCTGTGAATCGCCGCGCACGTGTACAGACTCATCTAAGCCTCTCCTCTATGGCTCCCCCAACAGATAGAGGGCCTGTTTGGTACAGCTTTCAAGATAAGCTACAAGCACCTCTCTTCCAGACTCTCAATCATTAATTTTTTTCAATTTATTTAAGTTATTATGAGCAGAAGCCACACTACGCAATGATACAGATTTTTAAAATAAAAAAGTTAAAACAGCTCCATAAGCGGGTACCACATAGCCCTAGAGGGTCCGATAGTCACCCCTTTTATCTCACATAAAAATAAAAATAAAAATAATGAAGAAACAGAAAGATAAAGAGTCTCATGTACAGAGTATCACTTTTCCAGTAAGGGTGGACAAAAATGAAAGGGGGAATGAGAGATGTCACACAAAGATCAAATGGACAGATACCAACACAGGTTACAGAGTAGTGGAAAACGAAAACACAACCCCTTCTCTCACAAACCATTCAAAAAAAACCTGAAATGGACTCCCCTATTTTAGCCCATTCACCCCTTACCAGCGACAAGGGGAAAAAAAAAAACATGTTAGATAAACTCAAATCCTAGAATTTACAGCAAGTCTCTACGTGACAACCTCTGTTATTGCAACTTCAGCCTACTTTTGGCATCACCAGTGAGTTGGGTATTTATTGGACTGACCTTTTAGTCGGAAATGTCATCCGTTTTAGATAACGAAAGCATAATCGTGGTTGCTTCTATAGCTGAAATCTCTGCTGGTGGTGATTGTACCTGGGTGGTGTAATGAAACTCGATCTGTAAACGGTGATGAAGTGGCGTTGAAGCGAGCAAACCTTTCTTAATATCCACCTGCAATTCCCTTATTGGGATTGCAGCCAAAAAGCTCTTTATGTACTCCTTGCATGAATCTTTCCCTCGGCACATAACCTCCTCTTGCTCTGCATTAGTCTTCATAGAGTCGTCAGATTTGGCTATGACTAGCCCTTCCACCGAACCCTCATTAAGGTTAATCTGCTGACCCAGCTCGTTCTTAGGTTCCATTGGAGCTGCCTGTTTTTCTTCTGACAATTGCATTGAACTCGGCAGTTTGTAAATTGTTGTATTCCTGTCAAATTTCAAGATGTATGCCTGGTTACAGCCCTCATAGAGCCTCTCTCCCAGCGTGTCAATGACATAGTAAGCTTCTGGTTCGACCTTGAGGACGAAAAAATGGTCATTCCAACTGACTATGTAAACTTGGGGATCGCTATTTCCGGGACATTCGGACCCTGCACGGCTAATCTCATCCCATATGTTGTCGAAAGACATAGCACCATGCAAAAAATCAAATCTCCCCTCCTCCATACCATCTGGGTGGAAAAAACCAATAAAGGACTTCCCTGGAGCTACAGAAAGTGGACGTATTTTGGCTTGGAGGACTGTATCCAGATCAAAGTGCTTGTCGGGAAATCGTACCCTATAGGCCTCGTTCTCACAAAGGTTTCTCCATTCTAATGAGCCTTCTCTGATCAGACTGTCAAACTGAGACTTGATGGGCATGAGTTCCCGGTTATTTTGAAACCAATCTGCAATGACAGCAACAAGGGCTGTACAAGCACTCTCACCCGCAGCCCTTTCACTCCGCTGATCAATGGAAGCAAAGAAGACCTGAGTTTCAAGCTTCATGTGTCCATCACGACTTGTTACTTCTTTCTGTTCCCAGCTTCCAATGGCAAAATTGTCATCCCCAAACTCAGACACTGATGATCGATACGCACTCGAGTCTTCATCAGTCTTATGCCGCTGGCAAAGAGGAAACCATTATTTGTATGAGCACTCTATGTAGTTTTGTTTGATAAAAAATAGGATACAAACTAGATTTTTTTAATATATTCTCAGAGAACATTTCATGAAATCAAATCAATCAAATCAAGGGAGAGGCAACTTTATCATCGAATCAAGGATGAACCAAATCCTTCACCAAATTTCCTAGAGTCATATTTTTACTCAAGTCTAATGATTTAAAAATAAATAAATAAATAAAGGATTGAAGATGGTTTTCTTTCATAAAAAATGGTAAAAAAAATGTTCAGGATAAGCTGAGATTAAAAAAATATATATATGATGAAAAATACGGAGTAAGAATTGGAGTGGTCCATATCACAAAAAAGCATTTAACAAAAATTCCAGTCAAATTTGATGGAAAAAAGAAGTAAGGATTAGAGATGGCCTAAGGTTATCCCTTTGTAATTAAATTTGTAATGTGACAATCCACAACTTGAGATGAAAGTGATTTCACACCAAGAACACAATTCGAACAAATATTTACCAGAACTACATGCTTGAATTAAGGAGGGGGAAAAATAGTCAACAGTTCTTACCTCAAGACTAAGAGATTCATCAGAGCTTAGCTGCCGACGGTCAAAGTCAATGTCATCCCCACCTTCTTCTCCATAAGCCTTCTTTAGTAGTGGCTCCCCTTTGGCCTTCGGAGATCTGAAGCTAAGCTTCCTCTTCCTCCAAGGCAAGATACTACGCTTTGAGGTCTGAAATAAGGATGGCTCAGAGATAGAGGCAGTCGAATCCTCCATCCGTGAACAACCCACATCAGATTTGCGGTTGCTGTAGTAAATCCAATCTTCATCCTCACTGTTGATCTTCGTATTTGAGTAAAGTGATCCGCCGGCACAGTTTGCGTAAGCCAATGTGCCATAACTAAATGATTTTCTAACACTAGGATCCTCTTTTCCCTCTTCTGATTCTCCCTCCTCAAACTCATCAACTGAGTCCGAGTCAAAAGTGTAGGTGTAATCACCATCTTCGCTCCTGGCAGAGCATCTTCCCTCGCTACCCTCTTCCTCACGGCAAGCCTTTTTTGCTCTTCTGGTTGAGACATACTCCGTAAAAAATTTCACCTTTCGCAGACCGGCCTTTAGTGCAGAAAACTCGTCTTTGTCTGTTGATAGAGGATCTGCTGACTGGGGATGGGGATGGGGAAAATGGAAGTATATGGGTATGCATGGGGAGGGGGAGGTGATGCGGCAGGAACGATTGATCTCTGAACTGACTCGGCAGATTCTTGACCGGTCCTTAGCTCCAATAAACTGAGTGTTATCTGCAATAGAAAAAATGCGACTCAAGGAAAGAACTTGGTTTTCATCATAAAAAAATAAATGCAATATAATCAAATGAAAATTCCAAATTCCAAGTTCCAAGTTCCAACTAAAAACAACAGTATTTTGCAAATGGCACATACACAAAGTGAAGGATGAGGCTCGGCTGCACTGCCTGAGATGAGAGGGATGTTAAGATCGAAGTCTTTTTCCTCAGCTTTCGAAGCAAATTCAGCAAGGTTCAATGACGCTGTTCCGACAACTGGCACCTTGATTTTTGACCCTAGATTCAAGCCCTAGATCAAACAAAATGTTTCTGAGTTTGCTTGAACAAGTCAACTGATAATTCTCAAAACAAGAAATACAGTATATACACCCACACAGACCCAACTTTTTTTTCCCTGATAAACACACAAATAAGCATGCATATTAATATGGTAATTCCATTATAATTACAAAAATCTCAAAGTTATGTTCGATAAACACATGTTCTAGATGGAAAACCACTCCAAAATTTTACAGGGAACCATCGGATAGTAATAAGGTTGCGACAGGACAAATGCCTATTTGTATTGAAAAACACCGATATCTACTATATAAGACAGAAACATACTGAAGTAATCACTCCCAATTAGTTTCCAGGAATAATGCTAAGGTTTAAAATCACAGAATCACAAGCCCCAAACTGGAAACTACATCATCAAATTTCCAATCACAGACAACTCAATATCACCTAAAAATCCAAAAAATGGTAGCTTTACGACCCTCTCCCCATAGATCGGTCTAATATCACAAATCATTCATTGAAAACCCAAAAATAGTAAACCAATAACCTCCAAATCAATCCTCAGCTTACAATTCAGCAAGTAAATATTGACAATTTACTCAGTCCAATAAACAACTTCACAGAAATCAGTAGATAACACACCAAAATATCCATTTCACACATAGGCCAAAAACAAAAAATTACCTTACTATTTCTTGACAAAAATTCTTGATAAAAATGGTACATTTCATCAAACCAAAAGGAAAATATTCCCGGAAATCTTTCACATACAACTCTCTCTGTCTCTCTATGTATGTGTGTGTACATATATTTTAAGTGTAGACAAACATATTTCTTGATCCCATCACATTCAACCATAAACCACCCAGAAACATAGAACTTCCATGAAATACTCACAAAGATTCAGCGATTCCCCCAAAAAGTATCTAGTCCAAGACCCCAAAATATGAAAAGAAAAAAAAAATTCAACCCAAAAAAATTCAAAATAAGAGGGGAAAAAAACCCAAAATTTGCACATAAAAAAAAACCCCCCCAAGACCAAGAAAGCACAAGAAAGAAAAAAAAAGAAAAAAAAAAAGAGTCGAAGTGAGAGAGAGAGAGAGGGCTGACATTGAAGACAGTGAAGGCGATCTCCCAAGGATGGAAAACATTGTCCTTGTAGCCAGACAAAGCACAGGCGCTCTGAAACTCCTCATCCCACTCTACGACACCGTTTTCAGAAACCCCAGCCTCCTTGGTGAAATTCCTCTTCACCGTTCTCCTGAACGAGCTCAGCGCGATCTTCGGCCCCTTCCACCTGATCTCCACCGTCAATCCCCCGCCCTTTTCTGCCTCCGCACCCACCTGATTGTACCCCTCCAGCCTCCTCACCACCAGACTCACCTCGTACTTCTTCGACAGCAGAGGCGGCCAAGGCCGCCATCTCATCATCTTCACCACCATTTCTAGAGAGTGCAACCCCCTCTGTGTTTCTTTGGGTTTTAGAGAGAGAAAGCGAAGATCTGCAGAAAAAACCAAAAATGAAAAGTGGGTATTGTTCGGATCTTCGAGAAAACAAAAGGGTTGCGGAGAAATTTTCAATGGGGGGTGTTGTTGTTACAGATGCAAACACAAAACAATAAATTGAGGATTTGGTTCCGAGATAAACGCTCGATATCGGAGAGAGAGAGAGAGAGGTGGATGTGTGTGGGGGCAGGCAACGGGATGCTGCTACGAAGTACTTAGAGAGAGAGAGAGAGATGAACTAAGGTTAAGGAGACCCAAAGTGTGGTTAAATGGAAGTATATGGGTATGCATGTAATGTATATGTATGTGGAAGAATTCTATTATCACATTCCTATAGGATATTACGTTTTTATTTTTTTTTTATAGTTATGATTACTTTTTTTTAATTATGATATTATTTTAAAATTTTAATTATGATTTTTTATATTTAATTATAATTTTTTTATTTTTTAATTATAATTTAAAAAATATAAAATTATATCATTTTTTTTAATAATTAAAACGTGCATACACACACTAAACCATTTGGATTAGTTTGTTTAAGAATTTCCATAAATTTTTTTTAAAAGAATTTTAGATAAATGAAAAGTAGGATTAAAAATTACTAATTCCAAAACATAAATAATTTTCACTTGCATTGATTTATTTTTTTATTTTACATTTATATAGTTTTGGGTAAATTATATTGATACCCTTAAAATTTCTGTTTAATAAAGATTTTTTCTTACGTCTAAAAAATTATACTTGTTCTTTGTCAAATTAAAATGATATATTTACCCTTTATAGATATAAAATAATAAAATAAGTTGATATTTTAGTTATGTCATTTCAAGATAAATAATAATAATTTTCTTTAGGTTAACTCACACAAAAAATTAATTTTTTTATTTATTTTTACTTTTTTATTTTTTAGATACACCTAATCTAGATATATTTAAGAAGTATAATATTTTATAAAAAAATTTTAATTCACCAAATACAAAAAAATATATATATAAATACAAAAATTTAGTAATACTGTAATAAATGTGAATGATGGTATTTGGTAATACTATAATAAATGTGGGTGAATAGACGAAAAACAAAAATGATTGTGGAAATAAAAATGAAAAATTCTATTTATATATAAAAATCTATACAAAAAATATCATAAAAATGTTAGGATAGTGATATTGTTGTAAATATAGATCATGTTTATGGATATTTTGTTTTAAAGTGAAAGGTCACTATTAAGTTATATCATTGTACTTGAAAATTTTATATAAAATTTATGTTTATATATCATCATTCAGAAAGTATCAGTGTAATTTGCCCTATAATTTTTGTATAAATATATAAAAAAGAGCGTAAATGAGAGACCTCCCACAACATTACAAAAAAATATTAAATACTAAATTTGACTTTTATCCCGTATCTTAAAAATAAAAGTAAATTACAATTGTAGTTTGTTTGGTTTGAGTTTTTTAGATTAAATTTTTTAAAAATTAAATTTTTTGGTTTTCGTATTTTTTTATTTTTAGTGAATATTTTTAAAATTTTAAACATTTTTTTTACTTTTTTAGATGTACCTTATTTAGATGTATCTAAAAAATAAAAAAAATTGTGAAAAAATATTTTTAAAAATTAATAAATATATAAAAATACAAAAAATATATTGAATTCTGGTATTTTTTTTGTATTTTTAGTATTTAGTGAATTTTTAAAAGGTTTCTTTCACAAATTTTTTACTTTTTAAGTATATTTATGTTAGGTATATTTTTAAGGGATCTATTTGTACACTTTTATAATTTAGAGGGTCAAAGTGATACTTATCAGTAGTTTAAAAGGGGTCCATTTATATGTTTTTATAATTTAAGGGTCCAAAATGATACTTCTCAATAATTTAAATGAATTCATGTAAATAATCCTAAGATATATGCACAAAATTTATATATAAAAATGGTCTAATTTGGGAAGCCAGTTAGTTCTCACATTTAAAAAAAAAAACAAAAAAACCAACTTTTAACCCTCCTTCCAAAAGAACCCAATTTATTAAGATAAGAAAAATAAGGTATGATTTAAATTCAACTTCAAATGGTACATGTTAAATAAATTTTGATTGTGCAAATATTAGGTGTAATTAATATTGTTCTAAAAGATTCATTTTAGAGCAATTATTCTGTCTTTTGAGTATTTTATATTGGTGGTGTGTTCAATTAATAAATAATAAATAAAAGTGGTGCTACATCTTTTAATTTTACTTTCAATTCTACTCCCAATGACGTGGCTCACCTCCGTGTGAAGCGATTTCACACTATGCTCTCTCTCATCGTTAGCTTTCCTAATTCCACATCATTGAGGGTGGAATTGGGAAGTAAAATTAGGGTCTTAAAAATTGGCCATGTTTGGTTTGATTTTCATAAATTTGTTTTAGAATTTTTTTCCTAAAAAATTAAAAATTAGTTTTATGAAAAAAAAAATTAAAGAATTTATCATTTTTATATAGTTTTATCTTTTCAGAGGGCAAAAATAATTTTTAAAAATTTTAAAATAGTTTTTTGATATTTATTTTTATCAAATTAATTTCTTTTTTCAAAAAAAAATTCTAAAAAGAATTCCAAAGAATGAACCCAAACAAGGCCAAGGTAATTTATATTTTTAAGGAATTTAACTTCCTTTCAGTTGAGGGAGAAGGTTGGATCATTTAGTTCAGCTTTTTGTTTCTTTCTCTAACCGTTATTGTTGAAGGCGAGGTTGGTTATTAGAATAGATGTATATAATTTTAAATAGATCGTTAATTTCTTTTGAAGATAAATAATATAAAATTACATAATTATGATTGTTGAATTAATTTTATATTATTTATTCAAAAATAAATAATATGGAGAGATTTGTTTATTTTTTCAAAAAAGAATATTATTTCTTTGGAGAGCTTTGTTTATTTTTTAATATATAAAAGATTGTTTATTAGAATATCATAAAAGGAATATCATATATTATTTCTTAATTTTATATAAAAGATTGGTTATTAGAATATCAACAATCATGATATTCTAATAACCAATCATAATATTCTTTTTTCTTAATTAATAATATTCTTAATTTTATAATTTTACATAATTATGATTGTTGAATGAATTATTTATAATATATAAAAGATTGGGGGATGCACCAATAAATTCCAAATTAATAACTTATACACTGTTTAGTCCTAAAAGTTTTCTTATAGACTGAAATGTCCCATTACAATGTTTCAAACATCAGGTTAATGTTTCGAACATTAGATTTCGAACATCAGATTAATGTTTCGAACATTAGATTTCGAACATCAGATTAATGTTTCAAACATTAGATTGATGTGCAAATGGGACTAAATAGAGCATAAGAAAATTTTTAGGACTAAATAGTTCAACTTTTCAGAAACTAGGACTTATGGGTAAATTTTCCTAAAAGATTTGTCTATTTTTTCAAAAAAGAATTTCAGATAAATGAAAAATAGGATACAAATTACATATTACTAATTTCAAAACATAATTTTCACTTGCATTGATTTGCAATTTATTTTATGTTATACCCCACAAGGTTACAAAAAATATTAAATGCTAAATCTAACTTACCCGTATCTTAAAAATCAGCATAAATTACATTTTTAACTATTTCAACTTTTTTCAGTTGAGGGAGAAGGTTGGATTTTCTTTCTTTATTAGCAATTATTTTTGAACGTTGAGTTAGTTATTTGGATAGATATATATGATTTTTAAAATACATTGTCAATTTTTTTAAATAAATAATATAAAATTACATAATTATAATTATTAAATAAATTTATTTTTTATAAATAATCTATTTTAAAAAATCTAAAAGTTAAATGTATCAGATCATTTAAAACGATAATCCAAACTGAATGATCTTATCTTTTCTCCCAACAAACTAGACTAACTGTTTTTCATCTCCATCTTCATGTTTCAATGGCAACAATGTTGCTCTCAAACTTTACACAATTTGGTCCTTCCATAATCAGTATTTATTTCAAAATTGGGTAAATTGCATTTTTTAACTACATTTTTGCTCTTTTTATTTTTATTTTTATTTTTATTTTTATGAGAACTGCATTCACAATTTGGTTGTTCCATAACACGTTACTTTTGGTTGGTGTTTTGTTTTCTATGTTTTGTTTGTGTTTTTTTTATTTTTTTTATTTTTTTCATGTTTCTTCCCTGGGTAGACTTGGTTTCTCTAGAGGGGGAGGAGACATTTTCTTTTCTTTTGGAAATTTTATTATTCTCCGATGTATTTGATTGACGGATTTATAATCAATTGTGCAATGAATTAAGGCCCTTGGTCATTTTATCCAAAAAAATAAAAAAATAAAAAATTTATTGAGATATAAAAGTGGGGGTGGATTCACCTGTTTGTTAGAATCAGTTATCCATATGGTCCATTAATTCATTTTTAAGGTTGTTGTGGTAGTATACATGTTGCTGTTCCAATTCTATTATGTTTGTGTCTGCTAATGCAAGCAAAGAGATACATAGAATACTCTTTAAGCAATTACCCAAAATAAGAAGCAAAATGGGACTAATATAAATTATAGCAAATTTGGTACCTAATGCTGAAAATGTGTTTAATCCCAATAATAATAATAATAACAAAAAAAAATCATTTGGAGCTTTAAATTTTATCTTGGGAGGATACAAAAAAAAATAAACAATTAAGAAAAAATAATTTCAAATTCAACAAAAGTACAAATGGTTCATGTACTATGTTTCTACAAGTGAATCCTGTATCTCCATGAATTTGAATTTCTTTTTCCACTTCTTACTTTTTATTTTATTTTATTATCCTTTTTATCTTACTATTTCCTTATCTTGGCTTAGCTTAGGCTCTGTTTGTTTCATTAGATATAAAAAAATTGAGTATATAATATGATATGAGATTTAGTCACGATATATAATGAATACGATATATATATTAGATAATATATTTTCTTATTCACGTTTGTTGACTTGACATATAACCCTAGATATATCTTACCCACGTTTGCTTTACAAAATATATTAGGAGATATAAACAAGTAATTTTCAAGATTGCCCTCATGATATATTTTAATACCCATATTGCCTTGATGCCCATCAAAAGGGACACTGTTCAGTTTAGGAAAAAAATAACACCACCTGCAAAACCAATGCAAATAAACA